TATATATATATATATATATATATATATATATATATAACTATATATAAATATATATATATATATATATTAAAATTAAAAATAATTGCTGCTGTTATATTAAACTTGTCTTATTTTATGTAAACAAATCAAATAATATACAACGCTCAAATTGATGAAAATATTAAACGAATAATAAGTGAAACGCGAAAACGTCTAGTCATTTTACAGATCAAATACGCTTCATTATTTTATTTTGGTTGAGACAACGTGTTTATCCGTTACCGTGACATCGTTGCTGACAGAGTTTAGGAAAGGAAATTTGACATTCCGAGCATGGCTGCCATTCGATTATTCTTCGCCGCTACGTTTTTTTCTCGTATACGCTCATCAATTAATAAGTTTTACAATTGGATCTGTACACCATGTGGCTTGCGACAGTCTCATATGCGGATTTCTGGTGCACATTTGCTGTCAAATAGAAATACTGGAACATCGTTTGAGAAAAAGTGCACGTGAGCCTAACATTCTTCGCGAGTGTGTTCTTCAACACAACCATATATTCAAGTTTGTTTTTATAAGTAACGTTAGAAATAAATATATTTTCCATTATTAATGTATATAATATGTTTATTTATAGCACAAATCTATTATTTCTATTATCTATCTATTATCTATTATTTAAAAATAAGAAATTTTATATTTTCGAAAATATAATATTTTTATTAGATATATATTTTCTTTCGAAGTAAATATAGACATTACACGTACTTTCTAAATAAACTTTCAAATACATATTTCTAATAGATTTTTTATTGTTTTGTTATAATTCATTCGCGATTCTTTTAACTGTCTAACTATTTATATATCTTTATACTATATTGTTTCCTTTATTTTCGAATTAGATGTTAAAATATTATATTTTATTAATTTTAGATTTGCTAATGTAGTAAATGAGAAATTCAAACTAACTATATTTCTCCAGTTTGTTGTCAGTACATTGGTGATGTGCTTTAATCTGTATCAATTTACCAAGTCAACAGCGTTAAAAACAAAATATATGCAATTAATATTGTATACGTGCTCCATGTTATCACAAATCTTTTTTTACTGCTGGTACGGGAATGAAGTTAAATTGAGAGTATGTGTGATTTTAAAATAGATATATTTTTATTTAAATATTTATAATTAACATAAATCATATAAATAAAATAAACAATTAATAAAGTTAAATAGAAATAAATAATTAAAATAAAGACTAATTGAAATAAATAAAATACTAAATTCTGAATTGTTACATGTAGAGTCGGCAGTTGATGAATAATGTGTTCGAAATGGAATGGTTTAATTTAGATGGAAACGCTCAGAAAACTTTATTAATGATTGTAAAGCGGGCTACAATACCAATCGAATTTACGAGTGCTTGTGTTATTTCTATGAACTTGGATTCATTTGTGGGTGTCAGTATCGATATCTATTATATGTTTAAGCAGAGCTCATAAATAATCTTCTAATATCAAATATCAATATGTTAATACATTTAATTAAGCTTTCTTTATGAAAAAAATTTAATAAATATATTAATAAAAAATTGCTAATATTAATATTGATTTAAATATTTAGTATGTTTATTAGAAAGGAATTTATTATGATTAATGATGTATTAGTTATATCTTTAGAGTATGGGAAAGAAATTAATAAACAAATTTCTACATAATAATTTATTTTAAACAACATTAGTTAATATCGTAATAATATAATAATTTAGTAATTGTTTCTGTTGTAGTTGCTCAAGACATCATATTCAGCTTATAATATACTTAAACAAACGCAAGAATAATACATAGTAGAATAAAAATATTAATGATATATTACGTAATGTAAATTTATATCACAAATCTGTGCATATGAAAATCATAAGGTATATATGAACAATTTTATTTAATAATCAACTCTTGTAGAATTGATATCAGAAGAAAAAAAGAAGTTGACTAAAATATTGATTGATTATATGATAATTTTAAGACAAATTTATAGACTTACGTTTTAATGTTTAAACAGATTTTATTTACATATATTAATGTGTGTAACATGATTATAATTATATTTGTAGAAGTTACATACATGAGTGTAAAATTAGAAATTGTAGTGACAGGGATCAATATAAGAGAATTAATAGGAAACAAATAGGAAGAGAAAATGTTGCCTATGTTGGAAATGGATATAATAAATTGACATTTTTATTTAAATATTTTCAAGTAGGTAGTATTTCTTAGAATATTAAATATTTCTTGGTAGAAGCCTGGGAGTTACCAATGTCAATATTTTATGTAGCGTTCGGTTATGTGAGGTTTATGCGACATTATTTTTTCCCTTTCGTAACGTTTCTTAACATATAATTTATTTCAAAAGTATTAGTAAAATATTTAATATACTACAGACAAAGTTTGTGTTTAACATCTATGCTGCACATGGAGGACGTTACAAATTAAATATTAAAAATCGTATAAGGAGGGACAAGATAAAGCATATCTTTGCTAGAAATATGTAAATCTATAGACATTCGTTCTTTTAAACAGTTTATTCAAAAGATATTATTATTACTCGTACAAGCAATTTTATCGTAACATTGCTCAAAATTTCAAGATAAAATTTTTGATAAAATTGTTAGTAAACAATTTTTCATGAAAAATCTCTGATAAACATGCTATTTATTTAAATAATATATTTAAAATGTTACATAACTAACGAAAAAATATAGAAAATATACATACAGTTAAAAAGTATATATAAATTTTTTTCGTTTAATTTTCACGGTTGTATGTAAATAAAATATCAAAAAATATAATATTAAAATGCAAGTATTAAATTCTACTTTTAAATTTCTAACTATTTGCGGCTGTTGGCGACCGGATTCTTGGACATCATCATTTAAACGTATAATTTACCATATACATACATTCTTCGTGTTTGTATTAATAAATACATTTACCTTATCACAATTACTGGATATTATTCTTACCGTCGATAATCCAGATGATTTTACTGATAATTTCTACATGTTGCTTGCAATGATTGTTTCTTGTTGTAAAATGCTTAGTATGTTGCTGAATCGTAAAAATATTGCAACATTAACCAATATTCTTATGGAGAAGCCATGCAAACCACTGGAACCGGAAGAAATGCAAATTTATCACAAATTTGATGAAAGTGTGCAGTAAGTATTATAAAAATAGTAAGTGTATTAAAAAATTATACAATAATAATTATTTTAAATTGTTTAATTCTATTGAAGCATACAGGCAAGATATTAATATATAATTATATAAAATAAATTAATATATATTAATATAAAAATTTGAAATTTTAATTTTTTTATTAATGTTATTCATATCTTTCATATTTATTATTATATATATTTTATAATAAACTGAAATAGAATATTAAATTTACTATTAAAATTATATATATTATATTATATATATAAGAAGAAATTATATATATAAGAAAAATAGCTAATTAATTTTAAACAAAACATTAATTAAATTACAAATAAAACGCGACAATGTCTATAGTTATTTTACAGAACAAATACAATACACTATGCCATTCTGGTTGAGACGACTGGTATATGCATTACGTTAACATCGTTACTCACGGACTTTAGATCACGAACATTGACATTCAGAGCCTGGTTACCATACGATTATTCATCACCAGTCTTATTTTATATTACATACGCTCACCAATTAATAAGTTTAATAGTCGGATCTGTTCTTCATATTGCTTGCGACGGCTTGATTATTGGATTTTTAGTGCATATTTGTTGTCAGATCAAAATATTGGAATCTCGTCTGAGAAGAATAGCGCATGAGCCTGATATTCTTTATGAATGCGTCCTGCAACACAATCGTATTTTTGAGTTTGTATTAATGTATAATATAATTAAAATAAGATGCAAACATTTTTTTAATATTGTTATGTCAACAAAAAGATATGAATGCAACTGCTATTTGTAGATATCAAAATAATTAATTATGTTTAATTACAGCTTTGCCATTATGGTTAATGCAAAATTCAGATTTACCATTGCTGTTCAATTTATGGTGAGCACATTGGTGATGTGCTTCAATCTATATCAATTCACCAGATCAACTACATCAAACGCGAAATATGTTCAGCTGATATTATATATGTGTAGCATGCTGACTCAAATCTTTTTTTATTGCTGGTATGGAAATGAGGTGAAAACAAAGGTATGTGATTTTTGAAGTAGCCATAAACAAACAAATTATAGGAATTATTAGTTAAATTATGATAATTAATTATATTTGTATAATTGGTATAATTGATGTAACTTGCATATTTTAATATCATTCTATCACAAATATAGAGTCGACAACTCATCGATAATATTTTTAAAATGAAATGGTACATGATGGATCAAAATATAAAAAAAGCTTTATTATTGATTATGAAACGTAGTATAATGCCCATTGAATTCACCAGCGCCTATATTGTTTCAATGAATCTTGATTCTTTCGTAGGTGTTAGTATATATAAAATACTTACTATTATCGCACAATTAATTGAACCTGACAGAATTTGATAAGTTGTATAAATTTATTAAATAAAGCAGTTATAAATTTTTTTAGAACATATTATAAAAGTATAAAAGTGTTTTTAATAAAAATAAATATTATATTCAAACTTATGTTAAAACATTGAAATTATTTAGTCTTTATACATTCTTTATATATTCTTTTTTATAAAATTTTCAACTTTAAATCTTTTAATATTTTATTTATTTCTTGCAGTTGCTTAAAACATCGTATTCAGCTTATAATATCTTGCAACAAATATAACAGAAAGTGGTATAATATAAACAATAATAACAATTTATTCTTACATTATTGTTTGTATTTAAATAATTTTAATAATATAAACAAAAATATAATATAATTATAAATGTAATTTGTAATACAATTATAAATATTCTTATTGTACTTATGTAGTTTTTAATAGTTAAATAAAAAGGAAATAAGAGAATATTATATTATATTTATTATATTTATATTTATATGATAGTAATCCAGGAAAAGAAAAAATACATTATACAGTTTAATCTTATAATTTTTTTTCTACATATATTTTTCTTATATTGTCTTTATGTCTAATTCATAATAATATAATAATATTATTACGGTAATGTAAAAAATATATTATAAATATATATGATGTATCTTTTACATTATTGTTATCTATTAGCTATTATTATCAGTGGACAATCTTTTTTATCTGTAAAGATATATTTATGTTATATTGATATTATAATTTTATAATAAAGATATTATAAATTTGATATGAATAAAGATATTATAATTTTATAAATATAGAAAAAAAGAGAGATTAGAAACTGTAAGTATTTTAAAATTATCAACAATATTAACAAAAATTTTTATAAAAAATTTAAATATTTAGGAATTAAATATTATATAAATATAAACTATTCACATTAATATTTTATAAAGACAAGTTATAATTGACTGTTCAATATTTGACTATCTTGTTCCATATCTTCTCTACACCACATAAAAAACATTGTTACATTTAAAGATATAATTACGTTATGTCGGTATAATAATTTTGCTACCATATACATATGTTGCATATTTTGATTCATGAAAAAAATATTTCACGAAGGGATATGTTTCGAGGGATACATTCTAAAATGAATAATGAAGTTACTCACCATAAGGGGTGGAAATATGAATAAAAAATGGATCCACATCTATGAAATTCGATCCGTAAAGCTATAGACTATTCCTCAGTCACTCTATAGATTTTGCTACGTACTATACTTACTTAGGCTATAATAACTTAGTATTCTTTGATATATCTTATAGCAAATATATTAATGTCCATTTATAATGTTTATAATAATCAGAACTTTTTAATTATAAATATAAGATATAAATAATATTTATAAATAATAAAAAATAAAGGAAATATCTAAATATAAGACACCTATAACAATAAAAAAAGAAAAAGTTCTTAATTGACGAATTGCAAACTTCACTTTTAAATAATTAATATAATTAATATAATTTTATTAAAAACTAATATATTGATATATTTAATTGTAATGCAATATTAATATAAAATTAAATTGCAATACAATAATTAATATAATTATTAATCTTATAAGTTATACAATAGTTTCTGCAATAATCAAGAGTATTATGTGTTTCACAGATCAAAAGACATAAAAAAATATAATCTTTTAAAATGCACATCCTTAAACTTTCCTTTAAACTTTTAACGTTATTTGGTTGTTGGCGGCCAGATTCTTGGTCGTCTCTGTATAAACGCATAGCATATCACGTATATACAAGTATAATAATTTTTTCAATAAATACCTTTACGCTATCGCAATTGATGGATATAATCCTGACTGTGGATAATGCTGACGATTTTTCTGATAATTTTTTTGTATTAATTGGTATGCTTATTTCTTGTTGTAAATTGTTCATTTTGTTAATAAATCGCAAAAATATCATCAAACTGATCGATATACTAATGGAAAAACCATGTAGACCAGTTAGATCAACTGAAATGAAAATTTTATATAAATTTGATAAAGGCATACAGTAAGTATTAACAAATAAAATATTGTTTTATTAATACTATTAAAAATTTTTTAAATTTCTTAAATATTATTTTTAATCTTCAAATTTATTATAATTCATATAATTTTTTTTATAATTCATTTAAATTTAATATTTTTAATGTAATTTATTATAGGAAAACATTATAGGAAATACATTAAAGAACTGAAATAAATTTCTTTTTTAAATTAGTAAAACTCAAGATATAAATAAAAAACTCATATGTAATCTTTCAAGATTATTTATTTAACAATTATTTTTCAGAATTAATACTCGGCGTTTTATATATTTGACATTAATAACAATTTCAAGTATTGTATTGACATCTTTATCTAACTTCAGAAATAGAAAATTAACATATAGAGCATGGCTACCATTCGATTATTCGTCGACAGTATTATTCTGTCTGACTTACACTCATCAATTGATAAGTTTGTTTGTCGCAGGATTCTTAAATATTGGTTGCGATACTCTTATTTGTGGATTATTAGTGCATATTTGTTGTCAAATTGAGATTTTGATTTATCGTCTGAGAAAGATTATATCTTATAGAGACAATCTTCGTGATTGCGTACATCAACATTATTATATCTTCAGGTTGAGTCTCATAATAGATTTTGCAAAATTTGCAATATAACATTTTTTAAATATTTATAGTATATGTTGTTGTAACATAACATTGTTTATAAATTTATTTTATTAAAATATAATGTTATAAAAACAAAATTGTTTTATTTTAGGCTTGTTTTTATTATAAATACAAAATTTAGACTGACTATTGCTATTCAATTTATAATGAGTACATTGGTGGTATGTTTTTGTCTTTATCAATTAAATAAAGTAACTGGAAAAGCCAAATTTGTTGAAATGACATTATATATGTTATGCATGTTAACGCAAATATTTTTCTACTGCTGGTATGGAAATGAAGTAAAGATAAAGGTAAAATAATTCACCATAATCATTAACATAAATATAATAATATAATGTTGTGAAATTGCAAATATAAAATATAATTATTCAAACATTTCCGTAATTAAAAAATTACAATAATTATAATATAAGTAGGTATCTATACTTTTAAATTATATGTGTGCGTGCGTGCGTGCGTGCGTGCGTGCGTGCGTGTGTGTGCGCGCGCGCGCGCGTGTGTGTGCATGTGTGTCACATCTATTTAATTTTCGTTTCTTATATAAATGTTATCTATAAATGTTGTTTATAAATGTATTTTGTATATTTTATAGAGTACTGAAATGATCGATAATATTTTTAAAATGGAATGGCTGACATTGGATGAAAATAAAAAGAAGTCTCTAATAATAATAATGAGGCGAGCAGTTGTGCCTATTCAAATAAACTGTGTTTATATTATTCCCATGAATCTTAATTCGTTTATGAGTGTTAGTATAAATAGTAGTTTATGAGTGTTATATATTACTAATATGAGTGTTATATATTATTAATATATTATATATATATATTATTATATTTCATATTTTAAGCTCTTTTCGTTGATAAATTTTATTTTCAAATATTCTTAAATTTAAATAATGATTTATAAAATGTTACAATTAATTATACTGTTAAAATATTTTTAATAAAATTTAAAGAAATTTTATTTAATATTAATTAATTAATAAATTATAAATACTGTTTATTAAAATATTTTAAATAATATAAATAAGTTGATACGTATTTACTGAAATCTAATTTTTATTGACAAAAAACGATAAGCTGTAAATTATTATATTAATATTTAAAAACAATTATAAAATTATTTTTATATTTCTAGATACTTAAGACGTCATATTCTACTTACAATTTGCTTCAGCAAATGCGGGAGTGATTGTGTAAAAAGCCATTGGCCTTTAAATGGTATTAATGTGTGTTATATCACGAAACCAAACCTAAGAAGAAACAGAAAAAAAAATAATATATATATATATATTTGCAATTAATAATTAATGTTCACATTTATTATAAAAATTAAATATTTAAATATTTAATTATTTAACAGCATATTTTCTTATTATTTTACATTTATTAACATATATTTCGTATATTTATATCTTATATTGTACTTCCTTGATTATTCTATAACCTTATAAATATTTATAAAATATTTTATACCTACAACGGGAGTTAGAAATTGCAATGTCTAAAATCAATATAAAGAAAGAATACTGCAACTATCTAATAATATACAGAATGGTAATAATAAAGAAAGTATTTCTAAGATAAAAGTAAGTAATATAGTTGCATTATTTTTATATCAAAATTTATGAATGTAATGTAGTTGATAATATTCATATTTTTCTTTTATCTTGATATCGTATTTGTATCTGAAAACAGTGTTATTTTTAAAATATTAGTCAACGTATAAAGTTTCTCAGAGACTTATAATATCATATCAATGAAACTGTATTTATAGGATCAATGATTCAAACCCGACATTATGATAATAACATAATAGTATGGATAGCGAAATCTTAGAAGAAAAAAAATGGTGAAACGCTGCATAAACTTTTCATTATTGTCAGTCGTTTGACAACCGTCTTACTTGTCTTTTCTTGATTTATTTTATAGATGTCATCTTTAGAAATATTTCAATAAGTAAAGTTTTATGCGAAATTTTATCTAATATATCACAAAAAATTTTATTTATTTTGTATGATTAATTGTATAAATATTATATAAAATTGTGGAGAAAATTTTAGTTACTTATGAACTATAAATATAAAGAGAAATAAAGATAAAAAAAGATTGTGCGAAATAAAAAATGCGCGTCTTGCAATTAACTTTCAAGATTTTAACAATTACTGGATGTTGGCGGCCGCAGTCATGCTCGTCATGTATGCGTATAGTTTATGACACCTATACGATTTTTATGATTATATTATTATATACTTTCTTGGTATCGCAATTTTTGGATATCATTTGGAATGTAAATAATGCAGAAGATTTTGCCGAAAATTTTTACGCCACGTTGGCGTCGGTTGTTTCTTGTTCTAAAATGCTCAGTTTGTTAGTAAATCGAGATAACATTAATACATTAACTAATGTACTCATCGAGAAACCATATAGACCATTGGAGATGGATGAAATGAAAATTCGATATAAATTTGATAGACTCATATAGTAAGTTTTTACAACGTAATAATAAAGATTATTTTGGAAAATAAGTTAATTATATGTTTAAAATAATTTTAAAAAGTATTTTGTATTTTTTATATTAAAAATAAGCATCTAATATTACGTAGCCTACTATTACGGTACCTAATTATTAATATACCTAATTATTAGAAATACATATGTTTTAATAATGTATTGTTAAACATCAGAAACTCTATTATACAAGTGAACATAACTATTTCCACAGTCATTTTGCAGTATCAACACACTTTGCTATACGATTTTGGTGGAAACAACGTGCCTATGCATCACTATGACGTCCTTATTCACGATGTTCAGAAAAGGGACCCTGACATACAGAGCATGGCTACCATACGACTATTATTCATCCACTATTGTATTTTGTCTTACCTATGCTCATCAACTTATTAGTCTGACGGCTGGATCGCTTATTAATGTGGCCTGTGATAGTCTTATCTGTGGATTGCTGGTGCATATTTGTTGTCAGATCGAGATCCTAGAATATCGATTGAGCAAGATATCAAATAATCATGATATTCTTCGCGATTGTGTACGTCACCACGACAGTATATTTGAGTTAGTTGTTTTATCTGATTTTGTAAATATCTTGCATTTTATCGAGAAGCTAAAAATAACAAAATATGTATTAATAAAAAAGCATTTTTTATGTATATATTTTGTATACTTTGGCTTAATTTAAAACGTTTCAATAGATTTTCTTTATATTGTATTTTTTTATATTTTACATTAAATATTTTTTAAAAAATTTCCATAAATAAAACGATTAGCATCTTCATTTAATATGTATTTTATAGATATGCCATCAAATTGAACAAGAAATTCAGAATGACTATTGCTATGCAATTTGTAGTGAGTACATTGGTAGTATGCTCGAATTTGTATCAAATGACTAAATCAGAAACTTTAAATGCAAACTATCTTCCTTTACTATTGTATATGTCCTGTATGTTGACACAAATTTTTATTTATTGCTGGTACGGAAACGAAGTAAAATTAAAGGTGCTTAATCAATTTATTCTGCATATTTTTATTTTAAAAAAAGCAAATATTTATAATAATAATTTTATTATATTTATAATTTTGTACTAAAATTTATATTTACGTGATAATATAATATTTACGTGATAATATAATATTTACGTGATAATATAATATTTACGTGATAATATAATATTTACGTGATAATATAATATTTTATAATTAAAATACATAAATCTGAAAGGTTAATGGTACTTCTTTGTTTTTTAAATATAGAGCACTCAGCTGCTTCAAAACATATTCTCGATGGATTGGATAACATTGGACAGACATGTTAAAGAAAGCTTATTAATAATAATGAATCGTGCAGCAGTACCGATAGAATTTACTAGTGCTTACATACTTTCTATGAATCTCGATTCTTTTGTTGGGGTTAGTAAAAAACTTAATTCATTATGTTATTATTAATGACAAATTTTTACTTTTAAGTAGAATATGTTATTTATCATCGGAAAATAAACAATTAAATAATTTATAAACAATTATTTTAAAAATATCAGTAATTTTGAACAATATTATGATAATAGTTATGCAAGCATGTTAAACAAATTTAAAAGTTATAAGATGAATTATTAAGTTTCATATACTTGTTGCAGATACTTAAGACATCATATTCAGCTTATAATATATTAAAACAAGTGTAGCAATCGTAAGTAAAAGATATAAAAAAATTAAAATTATTATATCTTTTAATATATATTTTCTCATTATTAACAGATTTTAATAGAACTTTGCATCGCAGTTAGTATTGCGTCCATGGACAATAGCAATTATTTATAATACATTCTATTATAATTATATATATATTTAATAAATTTTTATCTATTATATTGGAGAATAGTATTTAAAGTTTTTAAAAATAAGTATCTCAATATATATAATAACAAATATTCCTTAATAGCATATAAAACAACATTTTTATAATGTACATATATGTACATATATGTATGCACCTATAAAAAGTTTTTACTATATTTTATAATTTGTCAAAGATTTTTATGACAGTATTAAATCGATAAGAAAAGTAGAAAGTCAACTATAATTACAGAATTAACGATTTACTCTTGAGACGATAAAATTATAATTAACAACATCAGTATTTATTAAGCAAGTAAATTACTAGGTTATTTATATTATAATTTTAAAACACAATTTATAGTATATTATACTATATTATACTACACATAAGCTGCAACGATTTTCTTACTGGTTTCTTACATTTTTTTGCATTTGAATGTATTATTATATTACATGGTTGTCGCATAAAAATTTACATTTGAAAGCAATTGCATGAGTAAGAATGTGGGGAATAATATTGCGAGTTTAGTATTACGATACTTATAGTTGTCGAATGCGGAGGAGAAACTAGAAGAGCAATACTGCTATCGAAAAGTCATATCGTACAGCTATAGACATTCTGAAGTTTGTCACATGAAGCATCGCGAAGTTGATTCACAGTGTTGTTGATAGAAATGAAGAATTTTGAATTTTATATTTGAAGAAATTATCGAAATTATTTTTTAACTATTGGTCACGCGTGAATTGTGACTTAATATTATTAAAATTAAGTATTCATATATGAAATATCTTATCTATTTTATTTTATTGTATTAATAAATATTTACGTTAGAAAAGAGTGCTAAATATATATTGGAATAATCATGACAGTTAATATTTTGTGATAACAATAATTAATTTATTAACATTTGCATTTAATATTATCATTAAATAAAAAAGAAAACATAAATATTAATATAATTTAATTATTTAATTTATATTAATTTTAATAATTCTAAAAGTTTAATTAACATTAACATTTTACTTAACAGTCATCTGACTTAACAGTTGAAAGTGAAATTAAAGGTAGAAAAATGCAGGTTCTTGAATTTACATTAAAAATTCTTACTGTTGTGGGATGTTGGCCACCAAATTCTTGGACATCATTGTGTAAACCATCTATAACGCATATACAACTTTCATAATATTGCTGCTGTTTACTTTTATGCTGCCTCAACTTATGGATGTTCTTCTGAATGTCGATAATACCGACGATTTTACAGATGCTTTTTATATTATGCTCGCCATGTCTTGTAAAATGATCGGTCTTTTAGTAAATCGCAAGAATGTAGAAATATTAACTAATATTCTTACTAAAAAACCATTTATCCCAATGGATAGTGACGAAGTAGAAATCCGTCACAAATTTGATAGAACAATACAGTAAGTATTAAAAATTAGAAATAAAAATATCTTAGAGTTTTTTAAGATTAATTAAATTATGCAGAACATAATGGCGCAAAGAAATATGTTCTTATAATAAACCATTTAGTTGTTTTATGTTTAGTACCAACACATTATTGTATACAATTCTGGTTGAGACAACATGTACATGTATTGCATTAATATCATTATTCACGGATTTTTCGGAAAAGTAATTTAACATATAAAGAGTGGACGCTATATAACTACACATCCGAGATAATATTCTGTGTTACATACGTTCGTCAATTAATAAGCTCGACCATGGGGTCTATGGTGAATGTAGCATGTGATAGTTTGATCTGCGGTTTATTATTGCACGTATGCTGTCAGATCGAGATACTGGAATGTCGATTAAAAAAGATCTCTCACAGTCAAAACCATCTGCGCGAGTGTATACAACAACACGATTGTATATTTAAGTTAGTCTCTGTTTAAAAATTTTGAAAATTATAAATAACTGAAAGATATTATTGTTAATAAATAATTGTGTAGCTTCTTTAGATAATTTTACTTTATATATTAAATGATAATAAAACTAGTAAAAAATTAATTGCTTTTATATTTTTAAAATAAACATATAAAATTATAAAAATATTTTTCAAGTAAAAATTAATGCGTTTTCAAATAAATATATTTTTATATTTTTATTTTGTAGATTTGCATGTATGGTAAATGAGAAATTCAAAATAATCATCGCTATTCAATTTATAATAAACACGCTAGTGGTATGCTCCAACTTATATCAATTGGCAAAAATAACGTTAAATGCACAGTGTTTCCCATTGATATTATACATATATTCCATGTTGACACAAATTCTTATCTATTGTTGGTATGGAAACGAAGTAAAGCTAAAGGTGTGAATTGTATGTATATTTTTGAAAATTCGTGCACATATACAGTATTATAATTTATTACTTACGCAATGTTACTTATAAAATTCTTAATCTACAAATAAATCTAGTAACAAACTTAT